TTTTGGAAGGACGAGTTGCCAGCGCGATGGACGTGATGACCCAGAGGCTGAAGAGTTTAGAGGGTTTGAGCAAGTCAATGCGACCAGATCTTCTACGCTGGATCGCGGGGGGCTGGCGACTTCGACGGAGGTGCAGATGCAGGCCAGGCGGCGAACCACGAAGCAAAGGTTCTGCAGAAGTCAACGAACCGATCGTGGGAAGAGAGAGCCAAAGGAAAAGACAAGGGAGAGAAAGGCAAATGGAAGGGAGGCAAAGGCGAGAACAAGCCCTTCGATCACGACAAGTCCAAGAAGGAGAAGGGGGATGGCAAGAAGAAGTCGTGAACTATGAGTTGGGGGAGCCCACGGGGAGGCCATGGGGTCGCCCTGGTAGAGGCTCCTGGAAACTATGAGGAGATTGGATGCACGGCCGTGACCAGCTCCAGCCGCGAGAGTGATGGGGCAGGTCAGGAATTCAATAGACTGGGTACGATGGCAACGCTGAACGAGGGTGAGCCGTTGTGCCTTACAGCAATCAATTTTCCCGAACAGGATGCCGAGTCGATGCAAGAGCAGGCCACAGCTGGCGAATGTCATGATTTGGGGAACTCTTCTATTGCTGCTATCTTCAAACGGGCAGTTGAGGTGTTGAGAAAGGATGGGCACCTTCATTCACGACGCTCCAACACGGAGCTCGACCATGGACCTCATTGTCCGCCGTTCCCTCTTCGGATTCGAACGGAGGGCTGGGGCTCGAGGTTGGGCTTCCCCCACCTGCCCAAGTTTGACGCGCTGGTGAGCGGCACGATGGCAGCCCTCAATCATTTGGCTGAATTTGAGGGCTCCCTGGAAGCGGCTCCAGACGAGGCGGCGCCATCGACTATGGCATCTGAGACGAGCGTTCGTTCGCTTGCAGAAAAAAGGCTAGCGGCTCTCATCGTTCGCAATCACATGTGGGAGGTTCCGGATTGTTCGTTGTCGTTTAGTGAGTTTTTCATGAGGCGCAAGGTCGATTATTGTGGGGAAGAAGTGAGACTGGCTCAGAGTGTAAGTTGGGCAGCCGTGAATGAATCGCTCCCGGAAGGGGTGGGGAATGGCGCAACGTTTGCAATGGGCTGATTGAAAAGAAGGTGTGTGAAGTGTGGCCTATTTCCCAGCTCCACCATATAGGTGGAGCTCCTTTACTCAACGGAATGTTTGCTGTAGGCAAGGGCGAATTCAAGTCAGGCATCGAGACTCAGCGCCTGATCATGAATCTGGTACCGGTCAACCAGATATGTAAACCACTCCAAGGCGACGTGGGGACACTTCCTGCGGTCTCAGGCCTTAGTGGGTTTCTCCTGGGGTCGGGGGAAATCGCCCTCCTATCATCAGAAGATATCAAGTGTTTTTCTATCTGTTCGCAATTCCTACGTCATGGAGGAAGTACATGGGGTTCAACAAAGACCGTACCAAGTGACTTGATCCCGAACAAGTTCCAAGGCCAAGCTTGCGTGCTGGTTGCAAGGGTATTACCCATGGGATTCCTGAACTCGGTCAGCATCGCACAGCATATTCACCGGAACGTCGTTCGATTCAGGTAAGCCCCCGGTGGGAGCGGAGGGCGAGCTGCGCAAGGACCGGGCCATGAGCTCAGCGGCTGACCTGTATCGGGTTTATTTGGACAATTTTGATGCCCTGGAAAAGGTAGATGCTAGGTTGGCGGGGCAGATAAAGGGTACAGTGAAACCCCAGGTAGAAGCCCTTCGTGATATGTACGTTGAGCAGCTGAAAGAGTGACCCAGGGAGAGCTGCAAGGTGCCCTCCTGGATGGGGAAGCAGGCTATGCCATGCCCAAGCCACAGAAAGTCATCCAATATTGCAAACTAGGCAGCTCCTGGTGAGGGGGCAATCCACTCTACGAGAACTGCAGGTAGTCTGTGGGGTTTTCCTGTACCTGGCCATGTTTCGTCGCCAGTTGTTGGGGAGCCTGAACGCGGTCTTTGAGCACATGAAACGGTTCGAGGGCGAAGCGCCGGTTGTACGCCTTGGACTCCCCTATCAGGTCAAGGTTGAGATTGCCAGGTTCATCCTTTTGACTCCACTGGCCCAGATGGAATTTCGATCACCAGTAGATGGCGAGGTGACTTGCTCAGATGCATCGACCCTTGGAGGTGGTCTCTGCGCCTCTAAGGGTTTGACCAGTTATGGCATGAGCGCCGTCAGTTGTCCTGCCCGAGGTGATCTTCCTGAAGAGCACGAGCTTGTACAAGCGCTGTCCGTGGGGTTGTTTGACGGGATTGCCGCGCTCCGGGTGGCGTGTGACGTCCTGGGGCTGCCAGTGGCTGGCCACGTGAGCATTGAGAAGGACAGCAAGTGTAGACGAGTGGTGGAGAGCTTTTTCCACACTGAGTTCTTCGAGGACGTTTGTGACTTTGGTGAGGAGCAAGTCAAAGCCCTGGCCCTAAAATACAGCAATGTAGGGCTGATCATTGTGGGAGCAGGGCCTCCCTGTCAGGGAGTGAGCGGGCTAAACGCAGACCGCCTGGGCGCTCTCCGGGATGAGCGCAGTTGCCTGTTCCAAGAAGTTCCCCGGATTACTTCATTGTTTAGGCGGGAGTTTTATTGGGCCCAAGTGCATGAGATGGTCGAGAATGTGGCGTCCATGTCAGGAGCAGACAGGGCAATCATGAGTGAGGCTTTTCAGAGAACCCCTCACCGAGTAGACGCCAAAGGTATTGTACTGGACTACATGGGAGTGTTCCTGCGGCCCAGGCGTCTCCTGGCTAGAGGGAGACGGAAAAGGTTGGGAAGCTTATGGCAAACTTCGTTTACCTACCTTTACCACCTCAAGGCCACGGAATACTCCTGGGCGAAGGCCTGCGGGAGTAGAACAGTGCTCTAGTCAAGAGCTGCAGAGGTGGTATGATGACTTTTACAGGTTCCCGCCCTAGAAATACAGAGACAGCCATGGCCTTTGGAGTAAGAAGAGTGAGTGGCGGAGGCCATCGGCTCAAGAGAGGGAGGCCTGTATGGGGTTCCCCATCAATTATACGAAGCATTGCGCGGTGAAAGCAGAACAGCAAGGGCCAGAGTATGAGGACGCCCGCATGTCGATGATAGGCAACAGTTGGCACGTCGGCGTGGTAGCTTGGTTGATTGGGCAGCTCACTCAACAACTGGGGGTTGGGCCCAAGATGACACTGCAGGACATCGTCGATGCTACCACTCCTGGCAAAGCAAGTGCCTGGGGCTCGCCTCCAGCAAAGGCGAAGATCTCCTGGTTCACGCGGTGAGTGACCCGGCCCCGCGGTATTTCAGACTCCGCGCAAGTATACCTGGGCGCCTCTGGCGTTGGCGTGAGATTTCAGGTTGGCGTTGGAAGCTGGCGGGAGAACGCATAAACCTCCTAGAGATGCGGGCAATCTATACTAGTATTAAATGGAAGGTGAGCAGGTGCAAGAAGTTAGGGGTGCGTTTCCTTCACCTCACGGACAGTTTGGTGTGCCTACACGCTCTGACTCGGGGCCGAAGCTCGAGTCGCAAGTTGAGACCGATTCTGATGAGGCTCAATGCTTTGCTGTTGGCGGCTGACCTTCATCCCCTTTGGGGATATATCCATACCTCGCAAAACTCGGCCGACCGGCCCAGCCGGAGGCCCGTACGCCGTCGATGGGGAAAGTAGGCAAGAAGGTTTTGGAAGGTCAGACAAAACAGCAAAGGCAGGCACAGAGGAAGGAGTTAGGCACACTTCGAAGTCTCACCGTTTCAACCAAAACTAGCAATAGATATGCCGCTGCTCGTGCCAAGTTTTATGATTTTCTCCGTGAGAACTCACTCGAAATCCCTCGCTGGCGGGAGCAGTTTGACAGCCTCCTGGCGGGAATACATAGAGCACCTGTGGTCCGAGGGGGAAGGCCGCGGCGTGGCAGCCGATACGGTAGCCGGCCTGCAAGACGCGGATCCGAAGCTTAAGGGTCAGCCGCAACTGACCTGGAGACTTTTAAAGACATGGAATGCCAATGAAGTCCCGAATAGGGCGCCACCACTGACAGAGGCCGCGCTTGAGGCGATGGTCGGCTGGAGCTTTTTTCATGGCCACTTCGAGTTCGGCGTGTCGCTCCTGGTGGGTTTTTACGGGATGCTGCGCACAGGCGAACTGACGACTTTACGGGATGCTGCGCACAGGCGAACTGACGACCTTACGATGTTCTCACGTTTTCATGAAGACAGCTTCTGCCCCCGCTGTCCTTAGCCTTGGACTGACTAAGAGTGGGAAACGTATAGGTGCGTCAGAGTCGCTCACTTTGACGGTTGCGGTAGCCCTTCAGTGGTTATGGGCCTGGAAGCAGAGTGTCAAACCACAAGCCCTGTTCGTTTGCCTGGCGTAGGCTTTTTTCGGAATGCCTGCAAGCGTTGCAGCTCACCCTCTTTGAGTTTCGACCCTACTCGTTGCGTAGGGGGGGTGCCACCTGGTGGTTCACCAAGCACGGTTCGTTCGATAAGTTAATGGTAGCTGGAAGGTGGCAAGCTGCCAAAACTGCCCGAATATAATTGAACGAAAGCATGGCAGCGCTGGCCGACATGAGACTTCCCCAAAAATCCTTGTTGCCCTTTGCGCGAGTTTTCCATAACCAAGCTTCACCTCCACACTTGAGCTCGCGGGCGCGCCGCAGAAAAAGGGGAACGTGGAAGGGGGGTCTTTCTTTGCAACTTTTTTCGAAAAAAGGCACCAGCTTGAAGTTTTCGCCTAGCCGAAAGCTTCAAGGGGGGCAAGGGGGGTTTTCCCTTCTCTCTGGCTAGGCGAGAGTTGGGAAAGCTGAGCTCCTTCGACCTTGGACAGGTCAAACCTAAAGGGTAAGGTCTGGAGAAAGACCAATCTGGTAGGATTCTGTATGTCTTATTGTGATTAACTGCGGAGCGTTGTGAAAAGATTCGACCGTGAGTTTTTATAAATTTCTAGATGACTTATGGAGTTGGAGCTGGCTTGAGAATCTTGTGCTTGCTTGTATTTTTCGATTATGTCTAATTCTTGACCTGAGGTACACCTGTGCAGGTGGCACTGGCACTTATGCAAGTCATGCCAACCTGGATGCTGCTGGTGTGTACCCCTTGCCGGCAGCATGGCCGAAGTGTCCCGAGAAGGTCCTGGGATATTTTAATGCTATTTTAGGCAGCCTTGGAATTATTTGTGAAGTTTCCAGTTTGCGCCAACTACTTGTACTTTCTCAGAACCTAGTCTTGGTGTAGGGCCAAGTACAACCACGTAAGAAATAGGCCCACTTGACTTGCGTGCAAGCTTACTTTAATGATTGGTGCTTTGATTGTATAGAATGGTCATGACTGGTCATTGTTGTAAGCAAGCGTCGTTGGATTTCTGTGAAGAGACTCCTTGAAGAGAACAATCTTGCAATCCGTGTGCCGTGAACAGTTGCCGTTTTAGGACAGCATCAGCTTTGCGGAGGGGGCGGGTGTGGGTATCCCCTGTGCGACGGCTTACTACGCGCTAAAGCGTCGTGGGCAGGCGTGAACATGTTGTTATCGTTGTTATGCATAGCATAACTGCATTTCTCAGAACAGCGCGCCTGTGTTGATGAACTTGATGAAATGCCATGAGATGCTGTCGTGGAAAGGTTCCCAACATCCTCTCGTTTAAACACCTCCATCGTCAGGCTGTGCCAGGCTCCAGGGTCTTCATCCATGGTGCCAGCGGGGCAGTGGGACTGGCAGCTGTTCAGCTTGCGATGCCTAGGCTGCATGGGCATGTCCTAAGGCTCCACCACCTCGGTGTACAGAAGTCACCCAAGGTCAAGGTCTTTGCTGTAGTTAGCCACCGAGCCGAGACCATTCAGCAGCATGTTTGAGATTGCTGCATATTGGCATTGTGGTGGCGAATGTATCTAGTTCTTCTCGTAGTTCTGCAGAATCTGCTGGAGTTGCCAGACTGCTTGAATGGACAGACTTGCTGTGTTCTCAATGGGACGAGGCTCATACTTTGTACGATTGGGAGAAGGTCAACCAAAGTGCAAAACTATTAACCCATGGCCCATAGCTCTCATACATCCACTCCTTGTGATACTTCCAAGCCTGTCAGCTTCCGCTTTAAGATGTGGAACGGGTTTCACATTTTTTCAGGTTCATTCTCTCAGCCTCCGTTGACCCAGGAAGGACCTTGGCTGCTTCGTGGTGGGCAGCGCCGGCACTGTGCCTGGGCTAGCGGCCGTGCGGGCCGGCGGCGCCGACTTAGCCGTGGAGCACCGCACCTCGGGCATCGCTACTAGGAGGACGCTACTAGGAACAAAGGGCATTGCTATTAGTAACAAGAAGCTACTAGTAGCCAACGAAAAAGACTCAAGATTGGTAAGAGATGGGAGGAGAATCCCGCTCCTTTGGCAATTATTTTCATCACTCTTGGGGAGAGTCTCATGTATTCTGACAATGTAAACATATATATACACATGTACTGAAGTTCTTGTGCAGATCCAGTGTGTATGGGCCCTGGTGTTGATGGAGCCCCTTTTTTTCCATTTGTGCAAGCGATTGAGGAGGAACAAGTTTGCAATTATTTTCATGAGTACCTCTTTTCCTATTGAGTACTATGAGTACCTCTTTTCAACCAGGCCAGGAGGGCTACCTGGAGAAAAGTCTGGAGGCCGTGCCAAGCGGCTTTGATGTGATCCTAGCCGCTGGGCTGACTTAGCCAAGAGTCGAAGCATTTCCAACCCATCAAACGGGACCCAGCCTTATACATAAACATCATAAACAAATATACTATATTATATATGTTATATATGATTATATGATTATATATATATATACATATGAATATATACTCTTTATAGATGTTTGATTCTATATTTATTTAAGGGCTGCCGCCCCATATATATATGATTATATGATTATATATATATACATATGAATATATACTCTTTATAGATGTTTGATTCTATATTTATTTAAGGGCTGCCGCCCCTGCCGCCGACCCCGGGACTCATCAAGGAGCAGGAGTACTGCAGCTTGCACTCGGCAAAAAGCTATGAAACAAACCGATCAAATTGGACGGGTTGTTCAACAGTTGAA